AGAATAAAGACCCAGGCAGGTGCCGGCAGGGAACGTCCTGTGGGAAGGGGCTCTGGAGAGGAAGCTCACGCGGGAGGCCATGCCACGCCTCTCCGGTGGCAGCCGGGCTCCCGCGGGCACAGGTCCGTGAGCTCCAGGCCTGCCTCTGTCGTCCACTAGCTCTGCAGTCTGGGGAAAGGGATTTAAGCCATTCCAAGCCTCCATTCCCTCATCTGTGAAATGGGTGTCATAAAAATGCCAACCTTCCCAATAAGGCTGACTGGGAATTCAAGAACTCCTACAGAGCACCTGCCATAGATAACAACATAAGTGATTATTACTATACCTATTCAGAGTCCTAAATGCTTGTATTCTCTCTCTCTCATACAGACTACCTACAATATAACCCCAAAATTCATACAATATTTAATTCTAAATAAAGAGCATAAAGGACATGTTCCTATAGAGGAGGAAGAGAGAGGGGGAGTTAAGAAATCACTAATGAGCATATACTAAGTTTGTAAAAGTTTGAGCAATTTACTTGCCTTCCTTTAAAAGTCATCAAGCCTGTAAGGACTAGAGAAGCCGATGACAGAGATCATGAGTAAGTAAATGCTAGAGCGTGTTACAAGGAGGTAAGTGCTATGGGAAAAGTCAGGAGACGCAGACAAGGAATGTCTGGTGGTAGGAGGGGAGGGTGCAATCTGAAACAGAGTGGCCAGGAGGGGCCTCCTTGGAAAGGTGACTTTAAGCAATGATCTGAGGCAGGTGAGGTGGTTAATCAGGAGGTTAAGGGGAATAGCATTCCAGGCAGAGAGAAGAGCCCATGCAAAGGCCTCAGGGCATGTGTGGCAGGAGGGACGGACCCCAGTAGAAGCCGCCATCAGAGGGAACAGGTAGGCAATGTACTGTGACGTCGGCTAGCGCTACACGGGGCTCTCTCGGGACACCTTCCCACAGGAGAGGGGGAGAACCCACAGCTCAGTAACCGGGGCCTGAAGAATCCGTGAGGATTATGGCCTGGGCAGGGCAGGAGCGGTGTGTGTGGAGCTCTGCTGTGTTCGGTACTTAAAGGCAGAGGCATGGCTCGTCAACTTGACGCTGCTCTCTACAACATACTGGTCATCAGTATCAAGCTTCAAAACCATCCCAAAAGGACTGGCCAAACTGATGCTCTAGCACTTCACAGGTACAAGGTGCTTGGGGAAAGAGCTTTGGTTTTTGTTTATTTGTTTTTAAAAAAGAAAACCTTTTCGAGGGCACCTAGAAATCAATCTAATTTTTAAATAACAGTTAATGCCCCAAAGGACAAGCTGTAGTAAGAGCCAGGAATGTGAGTTAAGGACTCAAAGCAGAAACAGATTATGAAGGTGAGGCCACATGAAGAAAACAGTAGTGGAGGGAGGAGGTATACCAGAGGGCCAGGATGGCGGGACTGCTGCGTGGGTGCCGGCCCCTGCAGCTGGGGACGGTGTGTGCTCAGAGGACAGGACTTGGACTGGAGGGGACTCGGCAGTAACCCGCGGGAGGGCGAAGAAACGAGGGCAGTTCGGCCGGAGAGGAGCTTTAGAGGAAGCCGTGGTTTCCATGACCTCCTACCATCTGAAGAACGGGAAGCAGAAGTAGAGTCTGTGTGGCTTCAGACACAGACCAGAGAGGCACCAAGGGATGGAATATGACAGGGAGGAGGATTTGGTTCAATCTAAGAAATTCATTGGAACTTCAGAACTGTTCAAAAATGGGGCAGGCTGCTTCCCACAGTCACCCACAGCCCTTACTACATGCCCAGCCACAGGGCTCTGAGTTTGGGACCCTTATCATTGCACATTTAAATGCATGACATACATCACCACGCGTCAGTCTCCACAACGCCCGTGAGATGCGGCCACTGCAATACTGGGCACTATTCTGAAACCTCGAAACCCCACTTCTGGTGTTACTGCTGTTCTGTCATGTCAGCCACAAATCACAGCTCAGCTCCCCGCTTCTGGGCCTTCCTCCAGTCCCTTCCCCTTCTCCTCCACCCGCCCTACCTGCTAACAGGGCGCCACCAGGACCTGGGAGAAAGAGCCCTCGCAGCAGGCTGGCCTCTCCACTGCAGCAGGGGAAGGGGGGGACACGGCCATCTGGCTCTGGCCATCCGGCTCCCGTCCGGCTCCCGTGGGCAGTAAGAGAAATCAAAGCTCCTGCCACTGAGCTCAGCAGCTCCCATGAGGGGCTCCAGGTCGCAGGAGGGCGGCCCCGTATGGAGGGGCTGAGGCAGGAGCAGCAGTGGGCCCAGAGACCCCAGAGGGACCTTTCTGCACCATGGGAGGTAACTTTACACTGGAAACCTTGGCCTCACTCATTTTTTCCAAATCTATGAATTCTGAAAGCTTTTAAATAAAATGTCAGTAGAAACATCATGCTTCCTTATCTCAATCAGTGTGGCAATAGGCATAATGAATCCTCTACCACGGGCGAGAAGTTTTGACAGCTTGTTCCAGTTCACGGCTCCTAAGGGGAAAAGCTGGGATTTAAAGACAGCCGCTCTGGCTCCAGCCTTCAGAAGAGGTCCCTAAATGAGCTCTAAATTCCTTCCCTAGGTTCACCTTCATGGCCACCCCAGGCCCTCCGACACCGAGGCGGCCAGCTCTGTGCTTTCCATCAATATGCGAGCAAGTGACCCCGGCCCCTGAGTACCATTTCCAGTGGTGGGGGATGAGAAATACCAAGCACTCTGTTCTCGGGTCCCGAGAGACTGCGCGACCCAGGCTTCGGGATACTGGGGCTGATCTGCTCAGCGCTCTGGCCTCTGGGAGAACGATCCATTATCCCAACTCATTCATGGCAAACTTTCACCCAACAATGTTGGCTAGCCCAGAATTCACCAAGGAACCCTGTCAACTGCAAACACCATAAATAAGAATGCAACTTGGGGTTAAACATCCGTTTCTTACAGTGTTTCCAGACTAAACCAACTAAAAACAGAAGCCTCCAAAAAGAGAAGGTGGACACACACCCCGGCGCTTCTACCCGCTGGGCCACACAAGGTCACGTTCTCGAGTGCTGCCCATGGTGCACTCCACTCGCCCATTTTATCTTGGGGTCCTCCAGAGAGGCAAACATTTGCCAGCACCGACCAACCTTCTGACTCCGGTCCCTCAGACACCAACTGGGAGACACCAGTGTCCATCCGGGCACTCGCCACACTTCCCCACTCAGGCAGAGAGCAGCCCTGGGTGGGGCCTGCAGAGCTCACTGCACTTCCTCAGCCATCAGAGCTCCCCCAAGGGGTACAGCCTCCCAGGCTGTGCACTTTACAAGCCTGGTGTTTCAAACAGCCACCAGCCCAGCAGACCCCTTTGGCTTAGAAGTTTAGGAAGTCACACAATCTGGCTGTTGGACATTACCAGACAATCTACAAAAATGAAAATGAAATCTTTAAAACTAAACATTCTAAACTGATACACACTTAAAATAACTCAATTTAATGACTTAAAAAAAAAAAAAGATCTCACTGCATTTATAAGCCCAATCTTTCTAGCGTTCCTTTACTTGCTCCTTCCTGCTGGGAAACAACAGTACAGGAAGCTTAACACCAGTGCTCCGACCTCAATAATGGTTAACAAAAATAACTGTATTGCTTTACACTGGACATGTCTTAAGTTTCCAAAGTACTTTCACAATCATAATTTAATGTAATTCCATGAGATAAGAAGAGCCAACATTCACTATAACCACTTTATGACTCAGGTTAAGTGCAGTTATAGGATTTATATCACAAAGCTAGTTGAGCCCAAACCAGGCTCTTGTTTAATTTGGCAGAGGAGGCATTTTTTAAATTAAATATTAGAGAGAACTCTGGGGGAGGGAGGGGAAAGGAGAGGGAGAAAGAGAGAGAAGCAGGAAAGAGGGGCAGAGGTTGAGGAGCGTGAGGAGGGCGTAGGGGTCCCCCACCCAGGGCAGCCGCATCGAACCTACTCTGCAAACTCTCGGGGTAGCCTGGGCTGCTGCTTAACACATGCATGGAAGTATGTCGAGGGACAAGAATGGATCCATAGTACATGCAACCTGAGGAACTCAATCTTTGAGAGGTCCACTCTGTTGCTTTGCTTTCTCTTTTTCTTCAGATTTTATTTATTTATTTGAAAGAGAAAGAGTGTGTGTGTGTGTGTGTGTGTGTGTGTGTATGACAGAGAGAGATCACGAGCAGAGGGGAGGGGTAGAGGGAGAAGTAGACTCCCCACTGAGCAAGGAGCCCCATGCGGGACTCGATCCCAGGACCCTGGGATCACGACCCAAGCCAAAGGCAGACGCTTAACCGACTGAGCCACCCAGGCACCCTGCTTTGCTTTTCTAAAAGAAAAAAAAAAAGTTTTCTGATTAAAGAGCATTAGGGAAAAGAAATACCTGCTGCTGAAAATTTAGGCTATTACTGGGCAGAGACAAATCTTAAGTTTAGAACTGCATTTAAACTTGTTTTTTACACTGTGACTCCACATAGGAAGGCCCAAAGACAGACTTGAGCATACTCTATCTGGGAGACACAAGCAGGCTGCGAGGGCACCAGATGGTCCTCCTGTGACCCCACACCGAGGGATAGCAGCTGACGAGGCAGGGGACGTGGCGGGTGTAACCAGAGCGCTGGGACCAGGGAGCACCGCCACAAGCCCGCTGCACTGAGGCAGTGTGTCAACCTACAGTCCAGTCGCAGGGGGGAGGTAGACAAGCTTGGGAACGCAGTGGGAACAGAAGGAGCCCCTCCACATTCCCACACACGGTGGGTGAGCGGTCACAACAGCTCGGCAGAGGGGCCATTTTTCACCCGAGGTGCTGCAAGCTGCTGAGTTCTCTTACACGTGGAATTTGAGGATCTCTCTGGAAATAGCAATAGGCATGGTCATTTGAGCTTCTTACCTAGGGAGCTTTAAAATCGGGGGGTGATTTGACTTGAAATCTCATTTCGTCTTTTCCTTCACCTAATGCACTGCTGTTACTCATGCCAGAATCTCACAGGTCACTTCCGGGGTGTACGGTACCTTCATATCTGCTGGGAGAGTCGCACACTTTCTGTGGGGTTGCCACTCGGAGGAATATCTGCTGCCTCCACGAGTGTCTCCGTGTCTTCACGGGGGTCCTGCTGGCATCGCCAAGGTGGTTAGCTTTGGAGTCAAAGTCCCTGGAAGCACAAAATGACTGATTGATGACTGATGGGGAGATATAATCAGGTATTTTAGCTTGACTCTTTGTTTTTAAACAAAACACTACATTATAAATTATCTTTGTATAAGAAAACATAATTAGATAATCATGCAAGCTGAATCAAGCCCGCAGTGGGTCAACATTCCTAAGGGACTGTTTTCTTACAGGCTGCCTTTCATGAAAAGCACAAGACTGCATGCCCTTAATTTATGTCCATTATAAAAGACGTTAAGAAATACGCTCCACAGGCCACTAGCTTCCAGTTGGGCCTTTCTTGGCACACTTCAGAAAAGAGAAACTGTCTCTAAAGGGGGCACTGGCACCAGGGCACCATCTCCCCTCATCCGTGCGTGGGAAGATTTTCTCAGCATAGGTCTGCATCGCCAGACAGCCGCAAAAATGAAGAAAGATTACAAAGAACCATCAAGGCAATAATTACCCAGTCACTTGATGACAACTATGTTAACATCTATCGTTTTTAAACTACAAAACAAAGTATATTTACTAACACATATCGTAAATACTGTCTCATCAGTGATTTTTCTTCCTATTCGCAGGACAACTTGGGGAAGCCCTTGTAATTTACACCCGCGTACACACCGCAACTAAGGAATCACCCTGCCTCATAGGTCAGACACCCGGACTTATTTACAGAGCCACATGCTCACTCTCAGAAACACTGCTATCACTTAGAGAACCAGTTAAGACTTTCTTGGATCCTCTGCAAACAACACATTAATAAACTACTCCTGGTCAAAACCGGAGAACAAGAGGACTCTTTCTTTAAGTGACGTTCAGTAGGAAAGTATAAGAAAGAAGACACAACCGATTCAGCTAAAATGATCTTCTGAGTGTCAAAAAAATAGCTGAAAAATCCCTGTATATATCAGTAATTCGACACTTCTACCCAGGCTTGATAAATCTAAATTAAACCCTACCTTTTCGTGTTCATAAAGTCAGAGGTGTTATTTTCATCTACAGGAGCCAGAAATTTTAGAAAATTTGGCACAGAGGAAGAAGAATGAAGTTTTTTCCGCAGGGCATTACGGTAGGAGACGCTGAGAGTTTGAGAAGAGAGTTTAGGATAAAGAAATACAAACACAAAAAGTATAAAATATAAGCTTTAAAGTAAACACTTTAGTTCTCATGCTAAGAAAATTAAACCCGGTAAGAAATTAAAAAGTTTACAAATGAGATTTAATATCTGTAGTCAATAAAATTCTATTTTAAATGAATGGAATCAGTGAATTAATTCAAACACATCAGTCCATTCAGTTACGCAACATAACAAGCTCTAGACACCCACTGTACAACCCAGTGCCCGTTGTTAGCCATACTGTGCTGTGCGCTTTAACAACGTGTTAAGGGTGTAGAGCTCATGTTAAGCAGTCTCACCAGAATAAAATAAAAACATAACAAAAAAGTCAGTCCATCTTCCAAAATGACTTTTCCTTTCAAACTGGAAAAAAATAATTTTCCTAAATTCATGCGGACATTTCTGATTTGGCACAAACCACAGTGTATATGATCAAACACAGTTCTTGTTAAACTGTGTGTGTGTGTGTGTATCCTGGGCAGAGATATTGGAAAATAAGTATGTAAGAAATGGCTTGACATGAAGACCTGGCAACAGCAACAGTAATTAATCAATAGTGAATTAAGTCAGTTCAGATGATAGACTGAAAATAATACAATCAAAACCAGACAAGAACACACACACACACACAAGCGGTGGCCCTGGGTTCTCTCCCGCCATGCAGCACCACCTCTCTGTGCAAACTTCCCGGGAAGACAAACGACACTGAACTTGCCGCGTGAGTGTGCTCACCTCTTCGGCACAGCATTCCCACTTTGTTCTCCACTTGAGCTATGCTTTAGGTACTTAAAAAAATTTGGCGAGGAGGCGGAGGGGTTAAGACGAGGTGGAAGAGCAGGAGCTGAAGACTGACCTGAGCAACTTTTAGACTCGCCCACAGGTGGATGATTCACACTAAACAGCAATTAGAGAGAAGGCAGGGCGATTAGCGGGAAGGGGGGGAGCCCAGGGGCGAGCCGAAGGGGGGCGCGGAGGGAACAGGCTAGGCTGCCGCCATCCGCTTATTTAAACACCAGCTGTCACAGTCAGAGGACTGCTCTTCACTTCTCTTCTGTATCCACTGTCTCTTTGACAAAGGTAGTTTTCAGTTAAAAAAAAAAAAAAAGAGTACTGTGAAAAGTCATTCTTGATCATTTCTCACACATGTACGAACCCAATAGTGCTTTTTCCTCCCTTCCCTTTTCAGAAACTGGCAGCAATTTTTTTTTGTTTTTTACTTAAATGCAAAAAAAGGAAAGCAAAACAAACTCCATAGTTTTTAAAATACACGTCTCTTTAAAATGAACAATAACCTGCCTGGAATTCAAGGTCTCACTTCTTGTGCATAAATGAGGAAAGAGGTTCATAAGGGAGCAGAAAGCAACACAGGTATGCTACGGAGGGAGGGAGGCGGGCATCTCTCCACCCTCCCCTGCCCTCCCCTGTCCAGCAAGATCCATTAGGAAGCTGCATTCTTGGCGAGAGGGGAAACGTACTGTCAGGGGTACCCCTTTCCTACCACGTCTGCTTGTGTGAAACTGCAGGCCTAGCAAGAGAACTGGGCATCTCTAGACAGGAATGCGTCCACAATCACTGGGGACATGGCAGAGAGGGGAGAGAGAAGCCATAAACTGGCAAGAGCCCCATAAACCCTTGAACTGTTGTCTCTAAGACGTCACATATTAAATACTAGCTTCTGGCGTGCGTCCTGCTTTGGGATCATAGTTACACAGCCGAATTTTTGAAAGCCATAATCCTTTTCAATGGCTGACAGGAAACAAAGCGGAGAGGCTCTGCTACACCTTTCAAATAGTTTCATTTCTTCACTCAAAACCTGTCAAACGCCTCCGTACAGACTGTGCCTGATCCGTGCATGACCCCCACGCCCGACGCACGTCAGTCCCAGGAGGGCAGCAACTCTACACATTTATTCACGTTTATAGGTGAGGGGTTTTAAAAGATTTTTCAAGTTATTTTTAAGGATAACTCTGTGACTGCTTAGGGTCAAATTAATTGCCAAGGGACCCTGGAAGGGGCCCGGAGACCTTCTGCTCCGCTGCTGCTTACCCATCTCTAGAACCAGGAAATTCCAACCGCTCATTCGAGCCCAGTTATTCAAAGTGAGCAGATCCGGTTAGCAGACTCTAGAATACGCACACGGAAGGACATCCATTCCAGTTTGGTCACACACAGAAGCTAAGCAGGTGTGCCCAGGTCACAACCGGGCCAGGACCGAGCCAGCCCCGGACCCTGGGCCGCACAGGCAGCAGACGCGGCAACGTCGCCGCTCATGCCCCGCCTGGGACGGACGCCGCATCTCCGTGCCACCAGAGAAGGATCCCGGGTTTGCAAACGAGGACTCCCCAGCTCGCCCCCCTGCCACCTGTCCCCAAAGCCGGCAGCTAGGTTCCAGGAGCCCTGCCTCGCACCCTGCGTGAGCAGTGACTACTACCCACTTCGAGGGCCATTTCTGCTCCGTCTCAGCTGCTTCCTCCTGAGACTCGTACTTGCTACTTGAACAAGCAGCAAGCCTCTTACATCTACAGAGTTGCCGCGGGAGGAACCGGACACACCTTCAAGTGTTAGCTTTTAAGCCCACAGTAGAACCTGACTCAAGTCTCCGTCACCCAGTAAGCACAGCTGGGCTGCACATTCTGGGTTAACGACAGATACGCCCCAGCTAGTTACACAACAAATTCACATTTTTAAACAAATCTTACTTCCGGTCATGAGGCGTCTCTGTGCTCACTGAGTGGTACCTCGTAAGTTTCCTTTGGGAGGCCCCCGGAGACCCCTGAGCCGGTTCCGGAGGCTCCAGGCACTCCACGGGGAAATGACTCAGGGTGTTGGCGCGCCTGCGGAAGCTCTGCTGGGGTGACAGTGGGGCAGGCTCTTCTGCGGGCTGGCTCTCCGGGTCACTGGACAGGTCATCCGAGGAGCCGAGGAGCCTGAAGGAGCTCTCGGAGGCGGGCAGGGCCTCTTTCTCACACACGGACGGCTCCTGACGGCAGACGGACAGCAGGTCAGGCGTATCACGGGCAATCTCCTCCCAGGGGCAGGAAAACATTTGGACACAGGAGCCCATCTGGTTATAATGCCATCTAGAGGCCACCGAGAATGTAAGGGAACGAAGGCCCGATAAGGCCCTGCTTATCAGAGACCAAATGCTAGGCTGCTGGACAGATGGGGAAACCTGCCCAAATCCAAGGGGAAGGCCGTAGCTGTTGTAAGCGAAGCCGTCAATAGCCCCTTCTCCCTGTAAAAGACTCTACTGTGCTTTTAACTCGTAGAACTTGTCTGCACTGTTTACGCAAACCAAGACGTTCTTTATCTCTGCCAAGTGTGTTCATACACGTTCTACCCACATTGTTAAGGCTCTCTGATTTTGATCTAATGTTGAAATTTAACTTGGGGATCCTGAGGTTAAAAACTATATCCTGTATTATTCTTCGAATATGAAGAATCTCTCTTTAGGCACTTATGCCAGAACTCGCGGCCAATTATTTAACTTCTTTCTGTACCCCAATTTTCTCATCTGTAAAAGGGTAGAGAGAAAATTTCTCAGTGGGTTTCAAGAATTAGGCAAGGTAATCCAAGTGAAAGTGCACTGTAAAATGTTATACAAATATAAGTTACTGTATCAGGTACTCAATGAAGCTACTAAGTAGGTAACCCCAACATTTGTTGAGAAATCATGACAATACTTTAATACCATAGTCTTTCGAGATACATGCTTTTTCAAAGACATGAACTACTACTCAGGCAATCCTATGCTTTGCACTGCACCCAGGACATGGTTGGTGGCTAATATATTCTTCTCCTACCGAAGAACATAAAATAAGGGGGGGCATATCAGTTTGCCCCTGCTGAAACTGCTAGAAGAGATAAACATAGAAAGAGTAAAATGAAATGAATGCATCTAATGATAGACTGAAGAATCTAAATTCTATCTCTTCATTTGATATACGGTTGTGTGCCTTTCAGATGATATATTAAGGATTTTAATTTTTAAAAATATGTTTATTGAGGGGAGAGATATACATTTAATTTTGTAGGAATTAGATAGGAAAAACTTAATTCCCAACATACTACAAAATATTAATTACCTTTAAACATAGCTGAAATTTTCCATTCTTCGAGACTCTGTAGTTCCAAAGATCCTTTTAAGGATTTAAAATTTTGTCTAAGATGACACATCAGAGCAAACATTCTCCATTATGCAAGCCTGTTCATCTCAACTCTTATTAACTTCCCTCCAAATTACATGAAGGAGCTAATCCTTAGCTTAATCTTACACCTAAAAGGGCTACTCGGATGTTCCTCAACAAGTAGATGATCAATTTACTGGTAGAGATCCAGTTACATAAAATAGCTTATTTTTACAACAGTTTCTCAATCTCAGGTTAAAAAAAGACGTAAAGAAGTACACATAAAGATACCCCCCCACACAATACAAGCAGGTGGCTTCTGAAAGTTGTATTTCTCTTAAGATTACCCTAGAAATTCAAGCTTCATATATATTTTAGATCTGTGCTTTGGAGAAGAATATAAACAAGCGATAAGATTTTCTGGAAAAGTCACTTGAGTGACATGAGCCTCTTCACAGTATCTTTATTTGCAGTGGTCTGAGAAGTCTCTTCCCTGTCCACTTCCCCAAGCGCAATGCCTATCCTTTAAAATTTAATTCAAAGGCACCACTTCCCCCATTCCCACGCTTTCTCTGGTTCCACTGGTCCAAAATAACTTCCCTTCCCCTTGCTCTTGGGATGGCGAAGTTACCACCATCTCTTAGTCTAACTCTCAGGGCTCCTTCCATACTCTGATGCTGGTGTTGAGTATCTGTCGCCTCCCAGTTAAGTTCCCAAGGGCTCTGTCCCATTCATCTGTATATTGCAGATACACCATAAACTGTTTCCCAATGTGAAGTAAACTGTGGTGTAGAACCGGTATGTAGTTGATGGAGGTCAGATGATGCTCCGTCCCACCAGATTTTAACTCAGAAAATCATATTCTGAGGACTGGTGTCTAGGGCCTTGCTCCCGAGAGAGAGTCCGCAAACCGGGAGCATCAACACCACCTTGGAGCTTGTCAGAGATGCGGCATTTCAGGCCCACCCCAGGCCCACTGAACCAGTATCTGTCTTTCTGCCGGAACCGCATTAAAGGTACACCTGAGAACTTGAGCAGCACCCTCCCGAGTCAGTGTTTCTCAAGCGGTAGATGGCAGGTGGTACTATCAATTTGTTGGCCATGAACATTTTTAAAATAAAAAAGATCCAAAGAGAACAGTACGTGTCACAGATTGTTTACAGTAAATACTGTTTTATGCGATCTTAATTCTGGATGCGAGCGTGTACGTATGTGTTTGTGAATCGTTTCACAACATTAAATGCGTTTCTTACTGTTGGCTATGGTCTAAAAGCTCTGGAAGCCACGTGCCCGGGAGCAAACTCAGAACTTGAGAGCTGTGTGGTCAGGGGCTGGCTCCACAGAGCTTCCATCGCTCAAGAGTCTGAAGGAGCTCTGGTGGCAGAAGGAAAGCTGGCCTGCCTAACGAAAACCCCAAGTTCACTTTCTGGTGGTTAAAAAGAGCTGAAGCTGCCTAAATGTCTAGAAAGCAAGAAACTAAAACAAGGACACGGACACAGGTTTGTTACCAAAGAGAACCACTGGCTTGCTCATTATCACGAAGCTGTGCTTGGGGACAGACCCAAGGAGTGAAGCTTAGTTGTCTAATTTATAAGAATAGTAATATATTTAATTACAATCGTAGAGCCAGCCAAAGGGTAAAAGTATTCAAGCTGTAAACTTCACGGAATTCACAAAACCCAAGTTTTCCCAATTTCAATTATTGTTAATATTGGGCAAGAAGTCCACTGGTTGCTTTGTGATAAATTACCTCTCAGTGATCTAAAAGTGTCATCTTGCTTCTTTGCTTATGTAATGGCCATCTGCTTTGTTATGTGAAACTTTTAAGTTACAGAATTGCAAGACCAGCCCTCCTCCTGCACCCAGAAGTCTCAGGCACCAAACTTTTCATGATGAAAGATAGGGGGCTTCCTGGGATCCTTTTGTAGGCTCTGCAGGTAGCAGATGAGCATGACCCATTTGCTGATTTCTTCAGGGTGTCACAGAAAGGGAGATGTGCTTACTTTGCTCGTGTTACTTAAAGTGCTAGACATGGAGCTGTCCAGATCCAGACTGGAGGAGTGTTCCTGGAGGCCTCTGGCTTTACTACCCTACATAAAGAAAAGCAATCAAATTAGAATCCCTTAGGCTTGTGCAAAGGCATCAGATAGAAGCAGCTTGGTCTATTTAAACCACCCCAGGAAAAATGATCTACTGAGATAAAGCTGCTGAGCACATATGTGCATTAAGATAATCAACATTTTTTTTTTAATAGCACAGCAACCTAAATGTTCCTGAACACCTTGTGTATGAATCATTTGGCAGCGATGACGGGCAGGAAGAAGAGACAATCTGTCTATGAAGAAAAGCAAGCACACTCAACACCTCTCTCCCAAGTCCCAAGCTGTCACACCCCATCAGCTATGGGACGCCCAGACAACACTCTATCCACTCAGGAGCTCTCAGAGGTGGCCACCTGGTTTTGTAAATGGACTGTTTTTAATTATCTCTAAGGATGCTGCAAAATTCTGAGAAACACCTTCAAAGAAAATAAAATTTAACCAGAACAAAATTAAGCATGGTTCAGATGGAGTGTATCATGAAATTAAAAAAAAACAATAAAAACAAACAAACAAAAAAACTCTGTAAGACATTTCAAGCTCCAGAAAGATGTGAAACTTTGAAAGAAAATCAAACTCTGATCTCTCACGAGTGCCATCAAAGGTCAGGTACACCTGCTGGGGTGGGGAGCACACAGCATGTAATTTCTTAGGGAACTCCCAGACTGGTGTCTAGGTTTCCTCTGTGCTTCCTGCAGAGTGCAGTGCGCAAACCTGTCCGTACAGGGCCAGATACTAAATCTCTTGGGCTCTGGGGGCCATATTGTCTGTGGCAACTACTCAGCTCTGCACAAAAGCAAATTAAGAGTATAGGTAAATGAGTGGATACCACTATGTCTCCAAAACTTTATTTACAAAAACAGGAGGTGGGTGGCATTTGACCTGAGAGCCACAGTTTACTGACCCGCTACAGAGAGTTCTAGACATGTACCAGCCGCGGCTGACAGTAAATGGTTTTTTAAGCTGTGCCTCGTGGCACTTAGGGAGGATGGGTCCCACACTTTATTACATCTAATCTGTGCTCTTCACAGAGACTGGCCAGCGAATAACATCCTTTTAGGAAACAAAAATACCATGCTATGTAAGAGAATTTCTTTTAACCTAAACCAAGTTAAAAACTGAAGTGTAGGGCGCCTGGGTGGCTCAGTTGGTTAAGCGACTGCCTTCGGCTCGGGTCATGATCCTGGAGTCCTGGGATCGAGTCCCACATCGGGCTCCCTGCTCGGCGGGGGGTCTGCTTCTCCCTCTGACCCTCTTCCCTCTCATGCTGTCTCTCATTCTCTCTCAAATAAATAAATAAAATCTTAAAAAAAAAAAAAAAAAAAAAAAAACCTGAAGTGTAGGTAACACTGCTCTAAGACTGAGAAGACATTAAAAAGGTTTTTACCCTTCTGTACTTTATAACAAACACTGATGGCACAAAAGCAAAGAAATGAGGGCGCCTGGCTGGCTCAGTTGGAAGAGCATGCAACTCTTGATCTCAGGTTTGTGAGTGTGAGTCCCACATTGAGTGTAGAGATTAAAGATTTTTCGTTTTGTTTTGTTTTGTTTTGACAGAGATAGCGAGAACGGGAACACAAGCAGGGGGAGCGGGAGAGGGCGAAGCAGGCTTCTCGCTGAGCAGAGAGCCCAGTGTGGGGCTTGATCCCAGGACCCTGGGATCATGACCTGAGCCGAAGGCAGACGCTTAATGACTAAGCCACCCAGGCACCTTGAGCATAGAGATTACTTAAAAATAATTTTTTTTAAAAAAAGGCAAAGAATTGAATCTTATGTTCTCTTAAAAAGTGATTTTAACTTAGATGAGGAGAAATTATGCTACTTACCCGGGATAAAATACTTTCTAAAGACTCCGTTAAAGATCTCTTGGCTTTATTTTTCAGCATATCTAGTCTAAATCGAGTGGCACTTGGTGGTAACTCACTTCCAATATTCTCTGCTGCAATCTGTGAGGTCTAAAAAGTGAAACAATGAAAAGTTAAGTCAGTCACTTACAGCTTCCTTGCTCCCTTCCTTTTTCCCTTCTTAAAGGAATGATCAATCTCTAGGATGCATCTTTTTGACCCCAGGACGTTATTCTGATCCCCTGACCTCATCTCATCTGCTCCTCGAAGGCAAGGCTGCAAGTCCAGGAAACAGTCTGCCTCAAAGCACTGCTCCCAGTCTGCCTCAAAGCACTGCTCCGACCACTCCAAACAAAACGAGGAAATGTGCTTGGAAACCACTCCGTTAACAAAGCTCGTGAGCTCTGGCTCTGCGGTCAGGATCAGAGATGTGTCCCTCACTAACTGGCCTTGGACAAGCTACTTCCTCTCTCCTCGACTTAGTTCCTTCCTCTGTCAACTCAGACCCACCTCACGATCTAATCCTAACGCTGTGTTGTGAGATGAAACAGGTAAAACCACGTGAAGCATTGAGGAAAGGGGCTGGTACCGAGGTGGACAGTGTTAGCTCTTCCAAGTAAAGAACAACTTACCTTTGGGGGAATTTCAGAGGCTGAAACAAATAGAATCCACTCCATAACTTTAAATTTTATTTTCTTTTTTTAAGATTTTATTTATTCATTTGAGACACAGAGATACAGAGAGAGAGAGAAAGCATGAGCAGTGGGAGAGGCAGAGGGAGGGGGAGAAGCAGACTCCCCACTGAGCCAGGAGCCCGATGTGGGACTCGATCCCAGGACCCTGGGATCACGACCTGAGCCGAAGGCAGACGCCCAACCATCTGAGCCACCCAGGCGCCCCTCTATAACTTTAAATTAATCCCTTCATCACCTTCTGTGGAGCTGTCTTCTCCACTTCTTCCTCTCCCCCACCTACAGGTTCTGTCACCCCTTCCCTCTGCAACCACGCTTGCCCCCCTCACTGGTCACAACATGAAGTTGCCAACACAATGGCGTTTGGATGCCAACCAGAAAATGAGGTTTAATCCTACTTATTAACAAAGAGGTATGGTAAAAAAAAAAAAAAAAAAAAAAACTATAAAAACTCTCTAGATTAAAAACACAAACAAGCACATACTCCAATACTCTAAACTCAGACCATTCTTTGTTGTTACATACTTCAAGCATACAGAAAAGCGCACAGACCAATATAACACATGCATCTGCACCCCTACCCCCGCCCCCCCGACTCAGCTCTAGCCAAGTGAACATGCACGTGTTGAGAGCAGTGAGGATCGCGGGCTCCAGAGCCTGGGCCCAGATGAGATGCTTCTCTGTGTCTCCCTAGCTCTGTGGCCTTGGACAGATCTTTACCTGCTGCCCCTCCGTTCCTCCACCTGCAGACTGAGGACACACAGGGAACTTTCCCCACAGAGCACTTATGAGCTTCAGATGAACTAATGCACATTAAAGCACCGAGAACATACCTGATGCTCAGTAGATGTCAGCTATGAGTCACGATCATTGACTCTTAGCTACTGTTTCCCATGTTTTATGGAAAACATTACAGACCTCTGTGATGCCTCCTGGAACCACTCTCCATTTCCCAGCTGCACAAATAACCCCGCTCCTGAAGTTGGTGTTCGTCAACTCGTACCATGTACCTTCATATACATGTATGTATCCATAAAACATACGTAATGGTTTACATGTAGTTGAAACTTTAAATGAACAGATCATCCTGTACATACCCTCCCATAACTACCTTTTGTCTTTCAATGTAGTTTTTCAGATTTATCTGTGTTGACAAATGTTCTTGGATTCACTCACTTTAATTAGAGTGCAGTTGCTCACTGTATAACAACGTAATTTGTTCACATTCCTATGCTTAAACATGTATTCCTTCGTGCTTTTACAAAGGAGACTGAGCTAATCTCTACCGAACATAGCTCCTTAGCACAGATGTGAAAGTTTTCGCAAGGTAAATAATTAGAAATGTCCTTGCTGGGTCACTAGGTCTGCGCATCTTCACAGGTACCAGATACGGTCAGATTTTTTTCCCCTAAATGGTACTAATTAACAGTCACAGTATCAGTACATGAGAGTTCACCTCTACATGGCATGGTCAGATTTCTCCATTTCTGCCAATTTGATAGCTACAGATGGTCTCTTAATTTGTCTTCCCCGGATTCCTATGTGATTATGCATTTTTTATTATTTAGCTATTTGCTGGTCAAAGATATAGGTCTTCTTTGAAATGATGAAATCCTAGTTCATCAATGAATGTCAAACATTTTTCAAGGCATAAACGAGAAATAAAGGGTTCTGATAAGAGCTACCTTTGGCTTCATGCAGTCATCAGAGTTTTACTTCTGTGAGAATTAGAATGTGCATTAAGAGAATGACAACTAGCTTAGAAATTCTTTGGAGGGAGACCATCATTTATCTTTGTGTTTTCGTAGAGTATACGGAGCATGCTCTGGACACTTCCCACTTGCTTGCTGAAGGAGCGAATGAGCAATGATCACCAGGTGGGCCCTGGGGAAACACGTACCCAAAGCAACAGACTCCCGCAACAGATACTAACTAAGTGCCTGCTAAACATCATGCAGCACGGGCAGGTGCCTTACTCACTGCCATTGGTCTTGTGCAATCATTTACCAAGTATCAGGGCCACAGACTCCAGAGCAAAGGAAAGGATCCACACAGGGCCCTTGGGGGCCTGCCCTTGACTCGCCGCCAGTTCTCCCACAAAGTTAAGAAATCGTGCGCTTGCTTTCAAACTCCACACAAGTTTCCATGAAGTAGAAGCATTTTGAATGGATTGTTTTGATAGATAAAGAAAACACTGGCTACAAGACCAGTGACACACAGCAGAAAGTACATACAAGAAAAACTGCACTTTTCCTTTTCTGAAACCAGGCCATAAGAATGTCTGTACACGGAGTTCAACGCTTCGTCCGCTCTCCTCTCCCACCTAACATGATGCTTTTCCAGGTCTATCACCACAATTCTAATATGCTTTGAAAATAATTCATGTTTAGAAAATATATTCCTTGTTCATTTTAAAATAAGCATCTAGAGGGCGCCTGGGTGGCTCAGATGGTTAAGCGTCTGCCTTCAGCTCAGGTCATGATCTCAGGGTCCTGGGATCGAGTCCTGCATCGGGCTCCCTGCTCCTTGGGAGCCTGCTTCTCCCTCTGCCTCTCTCTCTCTCTCTCTCTCTCTGTCATGAATAAATAAATAAAATCTTTAAAAAAAAAAAATTTATTAAAAAAAAAATAAATAAATAAATAAATAAAATAAGCATCTAGAAGTTTCTCCTTTGAAGAGGATGCTGGTTCTTCCAATTTGGGGTGCTAGAGCAACTTGCACCGAGTCGCCACACTGCCCAGCCCAGGACAGAAGGGTGAACTCTGCACAGAAGTGTGGAGCCAAGTTTTAAATTCTGCGGCTACACCGACGTTCTCAGGTCAGAACCCACCATCCTGTGGCGCCGTGGCGTGCCCACGAGCAGCCTTATTCCTAACAACGAGCACCTGCAAGTAGCCAAGGTGTCCACCAGAAGGATGATGGAGAAAACTGGGGCTGGCCCACGGGAATAAAAAGGAACAAAGGACTGATGACACGCAACAACATGGATGAGTGGCACAAAGTGAAAGAAGCCAGAACTGAAAGAGTAAAGACTCTCTGATTCCATCTGCAAAACTTCTAGAATAAGCAAATCAACCTATGGTATAAATAATCAAAACCGTGGCTGCCTGGGGGAGGGGTAGTGAGGACCAGCAAAGAGGTACGGGGGTACATTCCGGCATGAAAGAGGATGCTCTCTATCTTGATGGGGGCTTGGGCCACCTAAATGTATGAAGTCCTCAAAACTCAACGAGTAGTGCACTCAAGATCTGTGCAGCTTACAGGATGTAAATCTCCAAAGACAACTGTGAACAAATACTGAGCTACAGCTAATTATATGCACGCTGAAGTGTATGGGAATAAAGAGTGCTGGTATCAGAAATTTACTTTACAAGTCATCCCAAAAAAGGTGAAATAAGAACTGGACGGATATATGGGAAAGCAAATATTGCAAAATGCGACAAATGGTATAATCTGGATGGTGGGTATATGAATGCTCATTGTTTCTTCCAACTTTCCTACATGTTTGAAATTTTTCAAAATAAAATGTCAGAAAAACTCCTCTACTGGAAAATGGACCCAGGCAAATCAGTGAGTAGTTATATAACATTAAATTTTGTTAGGTATGTTCCTAAAAAGCATAATGATTAAAATAGTGCCCTTCGGGGCGCCTGGGTGGCTCAGTTGGTTGAGCGACTGCCTTCGGCTCAGGTCATGATCCTGGAGTCCTGGGATCAAGTCCCGCATCGGGCTCCCTGTGCGGCAGGGAGCCCGCTTCTCCCTCTGACCCTCCCCCCTCTCATGTGCTCTCTCTCTCATTCTGTCTCAAATAAATAAATAAAATCTTTAAAAAAAAAAAAATAGTGCCCTTGGACCTGCGACACATCAGCTGTCATTCCCTAACATGCTGCTTGACCTCTTTTCCACATCTCCATCTCGAACAATGGTATTATACCACCTGCCTCAAAAAAGTTGTAGAAAAACTGGGATCACTCATGCAAAAAATTCAAACTCTGTATGTGGCAAACATTCAGTAAGTGGCAGTTGATTGAATATTCTTAATTTTTCACACCAGCTCTGTCCAGACAAGTAGAAACAGTATGTCCACTTACTAAAATGTGACACTTTCTAACTTTATTATTTTATAGGTCTTTGCCCAAAGCGATTCTTCCTTTTCCACAAGAACAAAACGTCCTTCAGTTGTTCTATTTTATAAAAATGGTTCCTCTGACAGCTATCCAACGCTACCATTTTAGTCTTTGAAAAGCACATACAGCATCACCACTGGCTCTGAGAAGTGCAGCCCTGGGTCTGTGCTCAGTGTCCTCTGTCCACTTGAGGGCCGGGGGCCAGAGAAGTTCACTGCCAAAGCCATGGTTCTAACTCCTCTCTAGGTCAAGTCATAACACTGTCCAAAGGCTATGGGAATTTTTAGGTGCAACAAGAGCATAATGAGATCCATGTAAACTATGTGGTAGCAGAAAATGAGAGCAGGAATCTACTGGTGAATCTCAAAGCTTCATCTGATCCATCTAAAAACAGCAGCTGCACTGAAAAGCCTGATCCTCAGAGCCCGAGTGGGTGTCCAGCCTGGGGAAGACCCAACCACAACTGGGGATCAGAGCAACTTCTTTACAGGCACGGACGTGAGCCTGCTGGGGAACAAAATGTTTAGAAACCTCGAGAGAAAGCACTGACAGCTCTGCTTTGTGAGGCCTGGAAGCTGTGACATTAAATTCTCTCATGTTTTCAAATGGAAAAAAAATTAAATATATTTCTCCACTGGACTAAACTATGCCCAAATCATAAAGATACTTCTCTGTTCCTTAAATATCAGTTTGTACTTAGGTCAAAACTTTCCATCCACCATAAATGCTTCATTCCCCTCCAGCAGTTATAAATCATTTCAAATTATCAATTTCCTGTTGGAACAAGTTAGGGAAGAAAATTACAACAGGGAAAACCTATTAATGGCACAAGAGGGAAAAAAAGGGGGGGATGGAAACAAGAAAATAGGTTGAAAAGCAGCAAAGAATTCACTGTCAGCGTAGGCTGGGTGGCCCACCCGAGTGAGCTGGAGGAGCACAGAACTCCCACGCTGTCCTGGGAAGGGAGGGATGGGGGCTGACAGAGGCCAGACACACATACGGTGCACTGACGTTAGGGTCCCTGCTAAGAGATGCTAAGGTTGGCCAAGGGGATGAAAAACAATGTTGGACACTGTACGTGAGCTCTGTGAGCTCAGGAAAGGGACCTGACTGCCAGAGCCAAGTGGAAGGTAGGAATCTGGGGAGAGTAAAACCATATCACCGTTAGGTGACCAGAAAAGCAGAGGTGTTTATAGGGAGAGGGTGCGCCACTGAGCATTAAAGCCCCTGTAGAACAGATCAGTTAGGCATTTTATAAAAAGGCAATATACTGGGGTGCCTGGTGGCTCGGTCGGTTAAGCGCCCAACTCTTGGTTTCGGCTCAGGTTATGATCTCACAGTTGTGAGATCGAGCCCCATGTCAGGCTCTGCGTTGGGCGTGGAGCCTGCTTAAGATTCTCTCTCTCCCTCTGCTCCTTCCCACCTTCCCAATCTCTCTCTCTCTCTCAAAAAAAAAAACAAAAACTGCAGCGCGTGGGTGGCTCAGTCAGTTAAACATCTGCCTTCTGCTCAGGTCATGATCCCACGGTCCTAGGATCGAGCCCCATGTTGGGCTCCGTGCTCAGCGGGGAGCCTGCTTCTCCCTCTCCCTCTGCCCTCCCCACCACTCATGCTCAATCTTAAATAATAAAAAATAAATAAAATCTTTAAAAAAATAAAAAGACCATATACTTTTGGAAAATTAAGGATTTTCTGAACATCTTTCAGTGATATTTCTCTAGATTTTCTGACTTACAGGGAACTTAAATACAAAATGCACACCTGAAGCTCTACTGGTTATCATGAATTGACTTACAGAGTCTAAGGGACATGAGAACGTGATCCGTGACACCACGTGTATGGAATCGCAGACTCGGAGCCCCAGCTTCGGACACAGCACCCCGAGACAGAAAAGCTGAACGATGCTTGTGCCCAGAAGAGGAAGGCAAGCCAATTTGGGACCTCCAGCACGTGAAACAGCGTCAATGCCAGTCTGGTACGTGGATGCCCATGCGCCAGGCTCCCCAGCACGGCACCTGACCGGTCAGTACAGCTACCTTACATTCACATAGTACTGACATTCCAGAGAACCTCCGGGCACCTTACAGAATTCTGAAGGCAGCGATGCAAGGTCATTCCCGTTGTCCCGGGGAGAGAGGGGAGGTGACAGAGACGGGCTCCCTGCAGGTCAAGTAGCTTGCTGTGGCAGTATCTACTCTCCAATTCCTTCTTGAAGCTCTACACCCGCCCTCTTGTTGGGAACGCCTGCTCCACCCACCCCGTGAGGCAGACGCAACTTCTCTCACCGCCTCCAAGCAGTCTAAATATTTCCAAATTTCCCCTACATGTGCAACAAGTAAAAATAAAACACAGGGAGAAAAAGAGTTTCAGAACTTGAGAAAATCCTCAAGTTTCTGTTTTACACAGCATCCTGGTAAAATTAAAAGAGGGGAAAAAAATGCCATACCTGCTTTATCTCCCCAATATGGATGTGACCTTTTTGTTTCTCTTCATATAAACATCTCAGGAAAGAAATAATCAATTCATTCTCTCGCTGTTCACTTCTTGGTCTCGATTTCTTAAAAAAAAAAAAAAAAAGAATATATTACATTTATTTTTAATTGTCAACAAAACTGCTAAACCATGCCTTTGAAAATGCTAACAGCTTCCATCCACCCGTTATAATGGCTGCTTTTACCCAATCATCTCACTAGGGGGCACAAATGATCCTAGCTAGACATGGACACCATTACGGGACAATGGAGCCAGTGGGCCAGATTCAGCTTTTGACCTCTGATGTCCTTATACCTAAAATAAATATTTCAAATCAGATAGAAGCACAGATAAAATATTTAATAAATAAGCTGTCTTGAAAACAAGAAAAGAATAAAATCTGTGTAAACATATCCAGAGGTCAAGAGCCATAATGGCCACATGTTTATAAACTTTTATGGCTAGGGAACTGGAAAGGAAAACAGCAACTGGATCGAGGGTCATGGTCCCACCCATCCAAAGTGCTGTTCAGCATGAAGCACTTTCTGCAAGCCCCACAAGGCCTAAACTTGCACGCAATATTTCATGGCACTGACTCATTTTTTTTTTTTCTCCTTTCTTTTTTAAGGAAATTCTCCCTACATCTTTTATTTTTCAGATAAGTAGTGGCAAAGCACACTGAACTAGAAATCAGGATACATAGGTTCTGGTGCTGCCACAACAAGATTACATGACCAAAGGCGAGTCATGTAATCTTAGCTTCCTCATCTGTTCAAAGAAAGATTATGCACAAAGTAAACTCCCCAATTCTTTGGATCTGAAACATCAGTGTTCATTTTTAGAAGACCATGTAATTTATTATTTTCTCTGAAAATGAAGAAAAAAGTTATTCTGAAGACACACAAAGCTTCTAGCCTATAAACCTTGAAAATATGGGTTTTTGAAGAGTTTGAGAGTGAGAGAGAGAGAGAGCAGGGGGAGGAGCAGAGGGAGGAGAAGCAGACTCTGTGCTGAGCAGGGAGCCCGCCAAGTGGCGGGCGTCATGGGAGCCCTGGGATCATGACCTGAGCCGAAGGCAGACACTTAACCAACTGAGCCACCCAGACACCCTGAAAATGTGTGTTTTTCATAATGATGATTATCCATTTTCCTGCTGCTCACCGCCCCCCATCCAAACTTCTAGCCTGCTCTTCAAAACAAAGACTGTAATAAATGAATCAACTATACAACCATCTAGTCTGGATCAATACCACCCTTGGCAACCTCCTCTCTGAGCTAACCTAGAAGCAATGATTTTACCCTTTGTGTCACAGGTTTTAGAAGCAAAGGTAACACTAACCCAGACCTTCTGGTATTCCTACTCTTTAAAAAAAGATCATTTAAAATGTAAGTTGTTCCTAAAACTGAAGGAAAAGACAGTAAATCATTAGAAGGGGTTGTTTTCACTGAGGACTTGCTATTCTTTAAATTTCAGATTCAAGGATTGAATATCTTAGAGCAGATGCTCTCAATCTCAATTCCAAGCTGTGAACCCTGATGTTATGATGAAGTTTTACATGTTTTATGTAACAAGTGCATTTTTCCAAAGAAAGTTCCCTTCAGATCTTCAAGAAAGGAAAAGGATAGTCATATACCACAATCCCAACCTTATACTGAGTAGCCCAAGGAGGTGATGGATACACGGTGAGTTTACACGCCCAGGAGGCACGAGGAACCCTCATTCACTGCTGATGGGACTGCACGATGACACAGCTGCTGTAGGGGCCAGTTTGACAGCTTCTTACCAAACCAACCATGCCCTTAGCACTCGATCCAGCCAATCACACTGCTTCATATTTACCCAAATGAGTTGAAAATTTGTGACATACTAAAACCAACACACAAATGTTTATAGCAGCTTCATTTATAACTGCCAAAACTTACGAGCAACCGAGATATCCTTCAACAGTGAATAAACAAATTGTGACACATCCATAAAATGGAATATAAAGGGCACCTGGGTGGCTCAGCTGGTTAAGCATCTATCTGCCTTGGGCTCAGGTCATGATCCCGGGGTCCTGGGATGGAGTCTCACATCAGGCTCCCTGCTCAGCAGGAGAGTCTGCTTCTCCCTCTGCCTCTGCTCCTCTCCCTGCTCGCACTCTCTCAAATGAATAAATAAAATCTTTAAAAAAATGGAATATTATTCAGCACTAAAATGAACTATCGGGCCATGAAAAGACACAGAGGAACTGTAAATGCATGTTGTTAAGTGAAAGCCAATCCACTGCATGCTGTATGATTCCAACTGTATGACATTCTGGACGAGGCAAAACAATGGAGACGGTGAAAGATCAGTGGGGGCCCGGGGTTTGGGGGAGGGGGGGCAGAAATAAACTGATGGAGCATAGAGGATTTTTAGGGTAGTGAAAAAACAATTCTCTTTGATCCTATAATGGTAGATACATGTCATTATATACATTTGTTAGAACCCACAGAATGTACAATACTAAAAGTTAACCCTAATGTCAACTATGGACTTCAGTTATTAATAATGTATCAATATGGGCTAACCAATAGTAACAAATGTACCACACTAAGACGTTAATAATAGGGAAAAGTGGCCCGAGGGTAAGGCTGGGGTGTGAGAGGTTATATGGGGACTCTGTATTTTCTAGCCACTTTTTCTCTAAAACTAAAACTGCTGTAAAAAAAAAAAAAAAGTCTATTTTTTTTAAGTCTAGGAAAGAGGAACAGACAGGAATTAGGGGATGTCTCTGAACAGACACCTAAGAGTTGGAACCATTCTTTCTTCCATAACTTTAATTAATTATTTGGAGCTGTTCTCACAAGAAGATGTGTATTTTTCTTGGAGAAACTGTGCAATTGCTTATTTCAAAGTCTCAAAAAAGGTTAAAAATGCAGTAATAAGAGGAGACATTTTTTCCTCAAAATATGCAAGAAAGTTGTCCAGATGGACAGAAAATGAGACAAATGAGCACCATGTACTATCACAGTCATCAGAAACTGAAGCAAAGGAGGAAATGCATCACGGAGGTCGTGAAACATCACAGAGGAAAGTCAATAAGGTCAGAAATCCACGTCCATGATATCCTACAAGGTCAAAAAATAAATCCTTTCTTCCTTAAAATAACCGAAATGTGACTAGGGGCTACTCTTCTATTGAGTTCAAATGATTAGCAAGGTGTCGACACCCACCACCCTCCACAGTGGCAACTCATTCCTTTCTACAGGTGATTTAATTTTACAAACACTCATTAGTCAGAGAGACAAGTCTGAGGAAAATGATGGGGAATCCAGTTGGATAGCATCACTTTGCAGTTAAAAATTAACTTGCTTATAGGGGCGCCTGGGTGGCTCAGTAGGTTAAGCGGCTGCCTTCGGCTCAGGTCATGATCCCGGGGTCCTGGGATGGAGCCCCCTTGTCCAGCTCCCTGCTCAGCGGAGAGCCTGCTTCTCCCTCTGCCTCTGCCTGCCACTCTGCCTACTTGTGCTGTCAGATAAATAAAATCTTTAAAAAAAAAAAAATTAACTTTCTTATAAAAAATCAATCTGCAGTGTCAGGGGCGCCTGGGTGGCTCAGTCGTTAAGCGTCTGCCTTCGGCTCAGGTCGTGATCCCAGGGTCCTGGGATCGAGCCCCGTATCAGGCTCCCTGCTCGGCGGGAAGTCTGCTTCTCCCTCTCCCACTCCCCCTGCTTGTGTTCCCTCTCTCGCTGTCTCTCTCTCTGTCAAATAAATAAATAAAATCTTAAAAAAAAAAAAATCAATCTACAGAGTCAGAAGTCAGGACGGTGTGTCCCCAGGGGCAATACCGATGTGGGGGGTAGTGGGCGGAGATTCTGAGGAGCTGGAAATGCTCTATTTCTTAATCTTCATGCTGGCTGGCTACACAGGAGCATTCATCTTCTAAAAATTCACTGAAACACACACACCACTAATTTGTGTGCTTTTCTCCTGTTACTTCATTTAAACAAATGCAAACAACTGATTGCCTGTTAAAGGTAACAAAGCCAGTTCTGCCACATGCTTCTTGACTTATTTCTAGGAGAAGGCCTACGAATTGGACGTAAGACTGACTGGAAACTGAATTTCCAACACTGACTGATGAATACCAGAATGCTGAGAATCTGCAGTCTTTGGAGGATACTACTTAAAATGGCAATGCCCACTTGGACACTACCAGAATTCTAACATCTAACATCTAACGTTATAATCAAATCAAATCTTATAGCAATTAATTTTAAAGCCATGGAAAATCCAGCTAAGTTGATATTCTTCAAAAAGTGGAGGGAAAAACAGCTCCTCTATTAATCTTTACAACTTGTGAAAAATCATCTTCTTTAATCATTACTGACCCCCACTGAGTATGAATCGACTTGATTTATCCATTCAGTATTAATTCAGCCATTCACTGAAATACTCTCATTCTGAAGAAGAGAGTTGGACTTTTGAGGCATTTCCCTTACTAGCCCTACTTGGGCTGGAAAGCACCAAAGGGGACCGACCACCGGACCCCATGGGCTGCCGCACAGTTGCACAGTGAGATATGCTTGAAGATTATGCGTTTCATAAGGTCATCGATTAAACAGTGGCTCTGAAGTGTCATGAGTCCCCTGACAAAAGGGTTAACAGGCCCCCAGGCTCATCTGGCACCAAGTTCTCTCAGCGTGCTCAAAGTCAGCCCGCACGCGGCAGCAACAACCTCCAGTGACACGTACACGGCCATTACAGATTTCTGCTCTTCATGTCCTGTGTAGTCTGCCCTTCTTTCTCTGCATTAAGCATTTATTTACAAAAACCCTGATTATGTATGCTTTAACTAAGTAATCATGTACCATTAATTTCAATCGTAATTACATTTGTCTTATGAAGATATGCCCTTGGAGAGTTCTTCAGAAATAAACTACCCTCCAGGAAAACTGTACAAAGGAACGTCTTAACCTTTCTGTTTACAAAAGGGCTCCTGACACTGCAAAGCCACCTTTTTCTTTATGATCTTTTTAAAAGGTATGATTTTCAAACACATTAGCAGGTACTGCTACCTAGAAACAAACTTGGTTTATAAAATGTTTTCTAAGAACCAAGAATGGTCATTGAAAATAATTCAATGAAACCCTCAAGCCATTAGAAGAGATCCATGTCAAATTTTATCATTTAAGGAAGAGCCACACTTATGATGATGGAGGACAAAGAGCTGGCTTTTCACACCCAGTGTCCCTTTCCTTTGGTCTTTAAGCCTTCTAGAACAACACATAGGGGTCCCAAGATATTAACTGCATGCATTTAAAAACAAAAACAAACAAAAACCTGTGTTGTGCCATCACTTGTCTCTAAAGTCTCTTTTCCATAATGCACTGGCTATCTAAAAATTTAGATCAAAGAGAGTCTCAGAATCACATCCATCAGGAATTTCTCATTGCTGAAGAACACTTTATTACCTATGCTGAGCCATCGCACTGTTTTGGGATGGCTACACAGTGCTGTCTAAATAAAATGCACATTAGGGGAGGCATGTGCATCTCCTAGGCTTGCCGCAAAGATGTTCCCCAAAGTGGCTTGATAACACTCGACGAGCAAGTGGACCGGCATCATGGAAAAAGGCCTCAGCCTCCACGGTAAATGCATTAACAGTCAGAAGCAAACCGTCCATCCATTTATGAATTCCAAGTACAAGTCACACTAAGTTTTTCTGAGTACTGTGTCCTCAGAACTCTAAAGATCCTTCAAGAAAAAACCAAGTAGCCTGTCTCAAGTCGATTCAGAAGAAAACAAGAAAATGTAAAGGCAACTGGAAATTGTGAGAATTACATTCTAAGCTACTTATGAAATTGAAAAACCTCTCCATGCTTTTCTTCTCCGAACATGTGTCACTCCTGCCAGAAAACAGATCACGGGCCTGCGTGTACAGTCCTGCACCCACTGAGGAGGCGGAGAGAACTCCCCATCCAGAGCTGCCAGCCCTCTTGATTTGCGTAACAGACTCCTCTGCAGGACCCCTGCCGCTCTCCTCCCCGCAAAAAAAGATATTTACTCTTTGTTCTGATGTGCTTTCCTCCCTACAAAAGCGCCAGGAAACATCAGAAAGTGCCCCTCGGCTGAAGCGGACATGAAATCTGTGATGAGCTCGTTAAAGATTCCTAACGAACACAGTCCAGGCATTCCAGCACACACAGCATGGTCTCCCTGAGCTCCGCGGCATCTACATGCAAGGACAAGAGCGAGTTTCCAGAACACCGATGAGCCTGGCTTTGGTTTTGTATTTTGTTTTTATATTTAGGTTTGATAAACAGTTCTAAGTAGCTAACATCATCTCCATCCCTTTCCAACACTGAGGAAGAAGGCAGGAACCACCAATGACCAAGTTCACGTACGAAATGCTGTCTCTGCCCACTGCCACACTTTGGGGCTGGGACCCCAAGCAGGAAGGGGCTGGGACCCCAAGCAGGAAGGGGCTGGGCAGAAGCTTCCTGTGGAGCAGAGGAGTGCTCGGGGACCAAAGTCCACGTCTTCCGTCTCCTGGGCTGAGGGCTCTTTTCACTCTGCAATTCCTTTCGCTCATTCCAAAACATTTTTTAAGGCAGGACTTTTCTGGGTTAGTCGCATTCACCGTGAAATCCAAGACTTGGTGGAAGTCTGCCGTCTGACCTGGCCCCTGCCCAGGGCTGCTAAGCCTAAACCAAGAGGAACTCGGGGCCACTTCCTCTGAGCTGTGGCAGCTCTGGTTTGCTATTTTTCATACGTACCATCTCACAGGTAAGCTGCTTAGCTCTGCTTTCAGTCTAGCAATTAGAAACTCGTACTTTACCTGAACCTCTTCAAAAATAGTTGCTTGCTCCTGATTAGTTAATGTTGTCAGGTGCTTCTGGAGTTCTAGTTTGGTTTTGGAAGAATTCATTCCTATTAAGAAAAAAAGATTCATGAAAACACTCTATGGAGAAGTTACAAGGCAGAGTAAAACTTCCGTACTCGTGCTTTTTACGTCCTTACCCACTTACTCCAGGCTTCTGAAGTTTTCCGGACATTCTACTCAGTAAAATATGGTTCATGATGGCAATGATGACAACTAACATGTTTTAGTCAAGCCCTCATTCGCCAGGCACAGTCTTATAAACATTAGGCCTGCCTCATTTAATACTGAGAACAGTCAATGAAGATGCTCCAGTTATCCCCATTTTGCAGTTAAGGAAACCGAGACCCAGAAAACTGATGTGAACTCCAAAGACCACCATGCTGGACCCCACCTCAGGTCTGCACAGTTCCGAATTTTTCTTTCTCCATCATTCCATGTTAGAACACCTCATACAATCGGAACACTGTCCTCAGAAAATAGATTCTCATGAGTATTATATATAAACTTGACAACTCAAGGAAAAACAACTACTGCTCCACTTGAAACATGTTTCTCTTCCACAGTAGGCTCCTCCGCATAAAACTGATTCATGTGGCTAACAACCTTCCTTTTATCACCACTTGCATTAATAGTCTTAAGCCCATCTAATTACCATTACAGAGGATTGCGAGGAAAAGTTAGAAAGTCACAATCTTAGTGCCAATGAGAAGCTGATACTCTGGAAAGTTGTTTCTCCACACAAATATCGCTTAGATCCTGCTTTGCCTTTTCTTGGTGCCGGAGATAAATGTTACACATGCTGAGAAGATTTAGAATGAAAGGATTTGCTGACCTAACTACCGTGGGAAAACTGCCGGAAAACTGCCGCCGCTCAGTACTTTTATTCCAAAGGCAGCCCTCACCTCACCCACCTGCTGCAGCTCCCTCCCCATTCCCCCCTCCCCCCAGCTGAGGAGGCTGGGTGCCTAGGCAGGTGCTTGGCCAAGGCTCTGCCCCGGAGGACACTGTGAATACATCTACACGGCTAAGGATGGCCAGGAGGGGACACCTCTGAAGTCTGGAACCAGGACTTGGAAATCAAGCCTCTGTTTTTACACAGGTGTTTGCTGAGGTCTAGAGAAGCCAGGTGATGGGGTGCCTGGGTGGCTCAGACGTTAAGTGTCTGCCTTCGGCTCAGGTCATGATCCCGGGGTCCTGGGATCGAGCCCCGCATCGGGCTCCCTGCTCCGCGGGAAGCCTGCTTCTCCCACTCCCCCTGTTTGTGTTCCCTCTCTCGCTGTGTCTCTCTCTGTCAAATAAATAAAATCTTAAAAAAAAAAGAAGCCGGGTGACTCGTCAAAAGTCAGGAGGCCGATCAGCAGCCAAGCCCGCCACAGAGCCGCTGCCTCCCCACCCCAACCCCACCCCAGGGCAGCCGGACGCAGAGCCGCCACCCTGCTCACAGCTCTGATGGAAGCCGCACCCCTCCTCAAACTGCAGGGGCTACCTCAGCTTCCGGGATGTCCCTCCTCCCAGCAGCACCCCCCCCTTAGTTTCTGCCAAGAAAATCCTATAAAAATAGAAGCCAGTACTTCTGAAGTGACGGCTGTGCCACTACGTGCATCATCTCAATCCTCACAACAGTCCCTGAGTGGGCACCATCTTTAGTAATTCCAAAGTATGAATGAAGAAACTGAGGCATGGGCAAAGTCCAGCATTTTGTCCGAGGTCACCGGCTAAGTGAGGGACAGTCAGGCTCTACACCATGCCCGTCTACCTCCGCGGACGGCTCGTGAACTCCCCACTGCCTCCTCCACCCACAAGTGGCCTCAGTCCTAAAGTGAATGCGGAGGTGGACGAAGTGCAGAAAAGACAGATGGGTTTTGTCAGACGCCGTTCAGGGACTCTTCCAGCAAGCTGGCAGGTCATACAAGCCAGGGAAACAGAGAGATGGTTTTACTGCACTAACTACTTAAATGTTGAATCAAAATAGTGTTTAAATTTACGAGTAAAATGAACAGTCATCGTTAACCAAAAGGCCTCTCCGCAGGTCTCTGACACAATGTGACAAGCATCCTATTTTGGACATATGTGATTGTTTGACGAGACATTCACATGTGGAGAGAACCGCCAAGCTCTAAGAAAAGTCTGACCAACTATACAACAGACTAACAGTATAATGGAATAACTACACAACAGACTAATTATACACCTCTAACAATCAGGCCACAATACAGACTACTCTTCATACTCAGCAGGTATGAGGAGATTCTTGGCAAGTTTCATCCTTGCTGTCAGGATGCCTCACCTCAGGAGGTCCCTGCTGCCCCACCTCAAACAGGAGGTGAGGTTTCTGACCCCCCTCGGCCCCCGTGCCTGGCTCTCCACTCCACGTTCACAGCGAACCTTCCACGTGGCTTCTCAGCAACGTCAACCGCTGCTGGCTGGCTTCTGCAGCAAGAAGGTGGCACCCCCCACATGATGCCAAAAGGCTTTACAGGGGGAAGGGGTGCAAGGAACAACAGAGAAAAAGGTAACCAGAGTGAAGCGCGTTCCCCAACTACAACCCCTTTAGCCCGGCTGTTAGTGAGGCCATTCACAGCGTTAGTGCAGAAAAGGCTCTTATTAAGGGAGCTCTGATGAACGGCTTTGCTCTACCAGAGGCAAATTTACTTAGACCGCAAAAGGAAAACTCAGTTCAACTCTTTTTCCTTTTTAGTGAACATATAATTCATTCTAGTAATTCCCAAAATGCTCTGCTCAACTTTAAAATAAGCAAAATGCTAAATAAAGCACTGGAGGAGCTGTTCAGAGTTCAAATTCAGACCCAAGCAAAGCTGCATGTCTTACATGTTGTGAGTGGCATGTCCAACGTGATCGGTGGGTAGAGTGTATGTACTTTTTTATAAATCCTAGGGCATAACCCGACTACATCAATTGATTAAGAAAGCAGTCTTTATGGGGCACCTGGGTGGCTTAGTCGTTAAGCGTCTGCCTTCGGCTCAGGTTATGATCCCAGGGTCCTGGGATCGAGCCCTGCATCGGGCTCCTTGCTTGGCGGGAAGCCTGCTTCTCCCTCTCCCACTCCCCCTGCTTGTGTTCCTGATCTCGTTATCTCTCTCTCTGTCAAATAAATAAAATCTAAAAAAAAAAAAAAAGAAAAAAAAGAAAGCAGTCTTTAAGTCTTCCTTTTTGTGGCCACGTCACTGGTCCTCTCCCCAGTGTATGGAAATCGTGGCCAGAGCGTGACTTCCTATTAGAGCTACTCTTATGGGAACATACAATGAGCTTTCATAAACCGCTTCACTCTACTTATGAGGAATGCACCACAGCAAAGAGCAAGGGCCTCAAAGTGTTCGTAAAACTAGCATCACCCCAACAAAGGACACCTCTCCCCTACTATGGATGCCCTCTATACTTAAGAAATGCTTCCCATCAGGCAGGCAAAACACCAGCCTTCTAATTGTGCTATCAAGAATGTTTCTACCTTAGCAGAGCTTTCTGCTTTGCTTGGGTTTTATCAGGTAAAAAGACGAATTAAATAATAATTCCAAAATACAGCAGCAAAATCCCTACCCTGACTGAACTTTTCAGCTCTCACTTTCTGAAAGCTAAGCCAGACCACAGAAAGATTTATCAGGTAGAACTCTGGAATCCTTCCAGTCCTGCAGATCACGGTCTGCTTTATCTTCAAGGCCAACATTGTCGTTGGCTTCTTAATAAGCTCTTAAGGGACAATTCTGTCATCGTTTCCCTGATCTTGACAACCACTAAGGGAAGGGTTAGTGATCCTTTCAGATGAGATCTCTAGGTAAAGCTCAACTTTTCTCCTTTCCAGCTATATTCTGTATAATGTCAGCAAACAGTAACAACTAGGGAAGCACAGTTGAAAATATTAATCATTTTGATTCATTTTAAAGAGCACTATAATGCCAGCAAATGAGCTTTTGAAACTTAAGGTGGTAATTGTCAATTTAGCTCATTTAAAAAGGGAAATCAGATACCACTGCACACCCATTAGGATGGTTATCATTAATAAAAAAAAAAAAAAAGGAAGAGCGAAAGTAACACGCGTTGGCCAGGATGTGGAGAAAAAGGAACACTTGTGCACTGCTAACGGGAATGTAAAATGGTGTAGCCACTGTGGAAAATATAGTGGCAGTCCCTCAAAAAATTTCACACATAATTACCATATGATCCAGCAATTCTCCTTCTGGGTATATTCCCCAAAGAACTGACAACAGGAACAGGAAGAGCTACTGTACACCGACTTTACAGCAACATCATTCGCAACAGCCAATAGGTGCAAACAATTCAGACATCTACGGACAGATGACTAGACACGATGGTACAGACATACAAGGGGATACTAGTCTGCCTGAAAACAGAATGAAATTCATGCTACAACATGAATAAACCTAGGAGATGTTATGCTAAATAAGCCAGCCACAAAAGGACAAAAGCTGCCTGATTCCACTTAGATGAGGTACCTGGAGCCCGTCACGCTCACAAAGACAGAAGCAGAATGGTGGCTGCCAGGGGCCAGGGCAGGGGACCTGGGGCGTTCCGGCTTAATGACTCTCAGTTTGGAAAGATTAAAAAGCCCCAGAGATGGATGGCGGTGGTGGCCTCAGAACAACGTGAATGTACTTCACGCCACTGAACTGTCCACTTTAAAAAGGTTAAAATGGTCAATTTTATATGATGTGTACTTTTACCACGATTATGAAAAAAGGGAAATGAAATCTAAATAGTATAGAGTTTTTCTCTACCCAAGTAGAGCTTATTAGAACTATTCTAGGGACTGGGAAATGATCAAATCTGGTTTGGGGTTTTTCTGGTTTTTGTTTGTTTGTAACACGGGTTGTTCAAATCCTGTGACTTCCCTCAGACTCACACACAACATTTTAGAAATCCTCTTATACGTGGAAAAAAATGTAAAACCAAAGAGAGAGAGAGGAATGAACCCCTTCAAAGTCGGGTTCCCTCAGAGGATCATCATGGCGGGTTTACCCTGGTTCTCTTCCTCTCGCCCCCCGCCTCCCCTGCAGGCCCAGAAATGGAGCATCTCCCCTCCCACCTGAAGAAGATTCCCCCCCCTCGTTCAGGAGGGGTCTCCTCCTTTCTATTCTGACCCACCAGGGCCCCGCGGCTCTGGATTTGCTCAAACCTCCCCAGCTGTGCAAAGCTGGGTCAGCTGGCTCTTCTCCCAGCGCGGCCTCCTCCTGGGGAGCGGCTCTGAGGGCTGGTAACAGGGAGGGCCTTCCCACACGGGCAGACGCCCGGACTCACACACTAGTCTCCCCCTAGACTTCGAGTCCTCGATGTACTTATCCCTGAAGTGTACAAATCCACAATCCTCTTTCCTCCCACATGTGAAAGCACCTAGCATAGTGCCTAGTACATCTTAAGTGCTCAATAAATAGTAGCTGCAAATGATCACATTTACCGCGGTTTCTCCCTATACCACATTTCTAGACACTATAGTCAACTCTCAGTCCCTTTTACTCTTTCCCTGTGACTCAGCTGCAACCTGTCTTCTGCCCCCTTCACTCCGTGAACACTGTTCCGGCAGGGGTTACCGATAACCTTGGACCTGAAACACCTGGTGGAGATTCTGCAGCTCTGACCTTAGCAGATCTCTTCACAGCAACCAACAGGGCTGACCCGACCACTCACAACCTGGGTAAACACTAGGCGGCTGGATTTATAGTTTCTATTTCTCTACTCCACGACCCTTAGAGTGGCGATGGTAGACGGGGGCATGGCAGTTCATTTTCAAACCCTGAGCACCTAGCACAATAGCTCAGCAAGATACAGAAGACACCCCCCCGCATGCTGGAAGTTCATCTAGGATCCCTGTGACTAACAGGAGCCTCTCAAGGAACGCAGAGCGCCTCGGTTTTCCTGGAGGGGGGCCACTACTCACCCTCTATCCGCTCACAGAGCTTGTGCAGGCCCTGCAGGGGGCAGCCCTCACACAGCTGGGCAGGTGCCTTTGCTGTCTGCTGCACGGCAGCCACGGTGAATGCCTGCTTCAGGGTCATCATGATTTCATCAACCTGATCGGAGAGAAGACACAGGGCAGCCAGCAAAATGCCCATTTAAGATGAGTGGGGCTGAGACTTCAGGACTCTGCAAAGACTTAGCATTTTAAGATTTTGGGGTGGGGGGGACTATTAATCACCAATGGACAGATAATAATCATCATAATAACTGCTAGGATTACAGGCTGAGAAACACTACCTAGATGCTCAAAGCTCATAAAGGAGAAAAGGTAAAAAATAAAAACAAATTCAATACTCATGAAAAGACCAACTCCTCTGCATCGTACGTCCAAAATGACGTATTTTAATGCTAGGCCAAGGGTAAACGGGAGCATGTTCCTCACAAACAACGAAAATGGAGGACACATACCCAAATAAGGCTTGCATGTGTACTAGCAAGTTATTAAATAGTCATGGCGGATAATTAAAGCCAAATAACGACAAGTCGATGAAGCTCTACGGTTTGCGAAGGAAAGAAAAATCAGTGAGGTTGACATTGCACGTAAGTACATCTTCCAGGTAAGAGCTGCTTATTCTCACTTACCAGAGCTTCATTGGTGCACTGAAACACGTAACAGACGAAATGAAAGCCTCCGCCCCCTGAAGACTCTCGGCAGATAAACCCAAAGTGGTCCACGTGTCTGATACCCTGTTGAAGGCGGGGAAGAGAGGGAGGAGCTTTGAGCCGTATCCGAGTCACGAGTGCCAGAAGGCAACAAGACTGAGGCAGCAGTCTTCTAGAGCACTCAAATTATTTCCCAGATTCTTCTGAGGTACAGCTGATACTGAATGTTACAAGAGTTTCAGGTGTACAACACGTCTGTACGTCATGCCATGCCGTGCTCACCCCCAGTGTAGCTCCCATCTACCACCAAGCAACGCTATTACAATACCCTGACTGTATTCCCAGCACCGTGACCATTCATCCCTGTGACTTGGGCATTCCGTACCTGGAAGCCTACACACCTCCCACCCCTCTCCCCTCTGGCAACTGTCAGTTTGTTCTCTATTTGGGTCTGTTTCTGCTTTTTTTTCTTCATCTTTCTTGAACTTATTTCACTTAGCATAATGCCCTCTAGATCCATCCATGTTGTCCCAAATGGCAAGATCTCCATCCTTTTGATGGCTGAGTAATACTCCATTGGGTATATATACATACCACATCTTCCTCAGCCATTCCTTTATGGACACTTGGATTTCTTCCATATCTTAGCTATTGTAAGTAAGGCTGCAGTAAAAACACGGATGCATATATCTTTTTGAATTAGTGCTTTTGTTTTCTTTGGGTAAATAGCCAGTAGTGGAATTACCAGATCATATGGTAGTTCTATTTTTAATGTTTTGAGGAACCTCCATGCTGTTCTCCACAGTGCCTGCTCTGGTTTGCATCCCCACCAGCAGTGCACCAAGGGTTCCTTTTTCTCCACATCCTTGCCAGCGATAGCTCACTGTGATTTTGATTTGTATTTCCCTGATGGTAAGTGATGTTGAGCATCTTTCCATGTGTTCTCTTGGCCATCTATATGACTTCTTTGGAAAAATGTCTATTCAGGTCCTCTGCCCATTTTTAAATTAGATTATTTGGTTTTTTGGTGTTGAGTTGTGTAAGTTCTTTTCCTATTTTGGATATTAACTCTTCATGGGGTACATCATTTGCAGATATCTTTTCTCACTCAGTAAGCTGCTTTTTAATTTCGTTGTTGGTTTCCTTCTCTGTGCAAAAGCTTTTTATTTTGTTTTAATCCCAATAGTTTATTTTGGCTGTTGTTTCTCTTGCCTGAGGAGGTATCTGGAAAATTCTGCAATAGCCAATGTCAAAGAAGTTAACTGCCTGTGTTTTCTTCAAGGAGTTTTGTGCTTTCATGTTCCACACATTTAGGACTTGAATCCATTTTCAGTTTATCTCTGTGTACAGCATAAGCAAGTGGTCCAGTGTCATTCTTTTATGTAGCTGTCCAATTTTCCCAGGGCCACTGTTGAAGAGACGGTCTTTTCCCCATTGTATACTCTTGCCTCCTTTGTCATAGACTGACCATACAATCGTGGGTTTATTTCTGGGCTATTCTGTTTCACTGATCCATGTGTCTATTTTTGTGCCAGTAGCATACTGTTTTGATTACTACAACTTTGTAGTATATAATCTGGGATTGTGATCTCCAGTTTTGTTGTTCTCAGGATTGCTTTGGCTTTTTGGGGTCTTTTGTGGTTCCACACGATTTTCTCAGGTATTTTAAATATCTAAAAACATCTCTCAAATATGAAGATTAACATCATTCTACTAAAATATTATTCTGATTACCCCCATAATATAAGAACTGAAAGGCAGGATTTTTAATGTTCATTTTAGTAATAAAAGGAAATACAGAAAAGTGGACACAGAAAAATGAGAACTTTTCCTAGGTACTAAAGAATAAAAAATTACTTTGAGAATCAAAAGTAGACAAAAGATGATTGAAGAAACACAACTATACACACACAAGCACACACACACGCAAACACTCATAGACACAAAGGTTAACAAAAAAAAAAAGATTTAAAACCCATTTATACTCTCCTACAAGAACAAACAGGTAAGTACTGAAGTACACTGGTATGAAGAATGAGTCAAGAATTATACACACAAAGAGCAGAGAAGCTTTTAAATGTAAGCTATTAAGGCCAAGGCTGTACACCATAGCTTCCTAAGAACTCTTCTCAATAAATACGTAAACTTGTTTTGGAAGTATCAGCTAAGAGGCACCGTGATGCAGATAAGACATAGCCCATAAATATTAATACGTGAGCGTCTCCAGAAAGCCCCAGCACGCAGAGATACGAGTGCCAGTAACTTGAAACTCAGGTCATCATGTACACTTGTGTAAGCTACACCCTTCAGGAAATAATAAAACTGTTACATGAAAAAGCAAACCTTGAACATTAACATTTCAAGAGAAATAGCAAAGCGAGATTAAATTCCGTGGATCATCTCACTTTCAGGTTGAACATTTTTCCAATAAATGGGCAATCACGGACAGATTCTGGCATCTCAATCCATGTTCTCGCACAGCAAGGTAAGCACCTGCTAGACATTCGTTCTCCGGGGAATAGGATTTGGAAAAATTTATTTTGCAAATGGTTCCCTAATCAACTATAAAAGGAGCATTCTTTATTTTCACATTTTGGGAAATGGATTCAAAAGGGATTTTTTTTAATGCAGATCATGTTACAAATCAGCAATGAGATTTTCATTACATCTTATTAATTATGAGAACATGGAAGCGAGGAAGTGAGAAGTCAGAGTTTTAAAATACAGCCAAACAATAACTTTAAGTGATCTCCTGTTTGTTGCTAGGAAGACCCTGAGTACAATTGACATAGCTCACTATAACCGATTCTCCAAAATATCTCCATGAAACACACCTTGGGAGACTATCAAGAAAGAACTCAAGTAGACACTGAATTCTGAGGAAAACATCCTTAAAGAGATTCACTATTTTAAGAAAGAATAATGACTCGTACCCAAAAAGAAGTTAAGAATTTTTATAAAGTAGAAGAAATGAGCATCTATTTAAAAATATTTGTATATATGAATGTATATATAAGACATGTACGCAGACCCACACATACACATCTGGAATTTGTGACTACAGAACATGACCACCAATAACTGAAAAAAGAAAAGTACACCAATTTCCTCCAGTAGATTACTGTTGCTAATAGCGAACTTAATTTCAAAATTATACGTATATTTTGCCTTAATATACCAAATCAAAAGAGAAATGCCAAGATCGCAAATCAAGTGTACCTAGAAGGCATACATCTTGTGACCTTTTAGCACTTCTGTTGAATAACAGATAGAAGAATTCATTAAAAATTCAAATGCAAATGAGGCAATAACCCATCTCCATTTACCTGAGAGCAAAAGGATATCTCCTTAAAATTTTTCTCCAATGCTATTTTTTTGGTGTCAGGACTGATGAGGTAAACTTCAGATTGGCCAATCTTAAAAGACAAAAAAAGAAACTAGTTTTTCATGAAAGTTGAATTCAATTTTATTAAACAAACATTCTCATTCTGTGACCTATGAAAATATAGAACCAAAGGGACAATCTCCTTTAAGATTCTGACAATTTCACTGTGGACAATCACCTCCAGAGGCTTCGGTTTACTCTACAGATTTCAGGTAGCACAGGACACCTGCTAGTACGTTCACCCACGTAAGACAGCAGGCTTCTTTGAGATCAAAGAACCAAATATCCGAAAGTTAACAACGAAACCACAGATGCCACATCTCCCCTTTATAAGGATATAAAAAGTAAAGTTACCAGAAAACAAAAGCTCTCCTTTTGAAACTTCCAAAACACTTTCTATTAACTGTTTTACTGAAAAGTCTTTTAAAACTATTGTTAAAATAACCTACCATTTGTTGAGTAGCTAACTATGTGGTAGGCATTCAAATACTACTCACCTCTTAAAGTTAGAGCATTAGCATAGTTAACACTGCCTTACAGCCTTGGGTCAGCATAATAAACTCCATTCTAGCAGAGGGCTGTGTTGCAAGAGCCCATCCCTCCCTCAGGGCCTTTCACTTGCTGCTCCCTGAACCCAGGATACTCCAACTAGAATAATATCTAGGTGGCCACACTGAACCTCTGCTCAGCGAAAATCACTTCCTCCAAGAAGCCTTCCTGGAATCCCCAGATGTTCTCACATAATCCTCTACTTCTCCTTTGTGGCACTGAGCACAACTGTAATGAGACAATTACTTGAACACTAGGTTGTCAATCCCCCTTACTGGAATCTAAATTTGGCGTGGGCAGAGACCAGGGCTGTCTTGTTCACCGCTGTTATTACTAGCATGTTGCAAGGGACCCTGCACACGGCACTCACACACCAAGTACTTGAACATACGTGCGCCGAGCAGCTTTCACAGTAACACCAAGAGTTTTTTCTTTTTAAATATACACCACAGACTAAAGCACAAGCCTGAGTGCTTAGCATTTTTTTCAGTACATGATGAAAAGAGGAAGAAAAAGCCCTATTTACCCACTGACACATCATCTTCATCTTAAATCTGCTTACATCCAACATGGCCTTAACCTAAGTAGCAGCTTCCTTACCCGTCGGCCACCTCACCGCTCTGAGTTAGGCACAAGAACATCATACTCACGGTAATTTTGCTCTCTCTAGAATACCAGTCATGACATTCTAGAAGAGGGCTGAAGAACAATCAGTTCCCTAGATCATCAGTGGCCAGCTCACTGCCGGGAAGGCCCCAGGCAAGCCCATCCAGAGGAGCCCAGAGCAGCACAGAACCCAGGAACCCCAAGTGCCAAGGACAGCTTCCCTGTCCATTCCTTTTCGGCACTTGGCTATCAGTTCACCAAACCTCTTCCAGAAAAAAGGGAGTAAACAGTTGGCTAAACTATTATTTCAGTTTGGGTATAAATTTCAAATATCATCTTATCCCCAAATCCAATTATCCTGATTAACAAAGGATAAATGTTTTATAATAAATTAATAGAAACAGTAAAGAGGGAGTATTTTCCAACTAAAAGATTCTGTTGAAATATATTACTTGAAATTAATATACTTTAAAAAATCCTTTCGGGGGCCTCTTTTACATCTGTGCCCTGTCGCTTCCACTGAAAAGGTCTCTTTCAACTAAGGGGGGGGGGCGTGGTAGAGATAAAAACAAACAAGGATAGAAGATAGATTCTCTTTAGGTTTCCAATAATGATTTTATAAAGGCCTAGGACTAAAGTAAGGATTTTATCCTGAGAAAAGGATTATTCACTATAAAGGTAAAAGGTACATAGATTCACACATAAATCCGAAAGCAATTTGCTACGAATCCTTGCTCAATAAAGCCGGTTGAACATGGATCTCACACTGGGGATGAGCCCAGGGCTTGATGGTATTTTACCGTGAAGAGCATAGTTCGATTTTCCTCAATATCTGTCGGCTGCACAATATTGTGTCCGCTAAGGAGGTGGTTCTCAATGTCGTTTTCCTCAAAGGAGCTGAAAAAACTACTACTGCGAAGGCTTCCATCTTGAAACTCCTTCTTAAAGGCCAACGAGCGCAGCCCGGGCTGGGAGAAGGATTTGCGCATCGGCCTCCGGCCCTGCTCGCCGTTCCCCGCTGGCTGGAGCACAGATCGGAACTTCTCCGTGAAGGAAAGGCCTCCCGCGGGATTTGGGGTTTCAGAATTCTGGGAGACCAAGTCAAATTCGGCTTTCCTGCTGCAACTGACGTGGTTGAACTTCTCAATGCACTCGTCGATCAGGGCCGGAGGGGCCTTCTTGTGAGCCACCGTCACCCGGCCACAGAAGAGCACCTCAAACTTCTTGGCAAACGTGTCATCAAACTCGGACGGGCAATGGAGCTCCTCCTGCCGGGCAATCTTCCCGGCCTGGCGGATGGAGCTGATGATCTCAGGCACCTGCCAGGAAAGGAAGAGTGTTACTTGGACCCTGCAGTAGATGGTACTCCCACCCTGGCGCGCACGCCCATGCACGCGCGCACACACGCACACACACACGGCACGACTGTACGAGCAGCCTACGCTCTGCTGTCCCCGAGCGCCCCACCGCGTGCTCCGTGGCACTGAAGTAGGGGCCACGGGAACCTGAGACCGTAGACGCCTTCCCATGAGAGGGAAATGCACAAGCCTCACAGACAGGAGAAGAGGAACAATATTTATTAAGCACCTCTTTCGTGCCAGGGACTATGCTAGAGGATTCACGTGCCCACAACACTCCACAAGGTTAAGTGACTAGCCCACGGACACGCAGCCCAACGTGGCGCCTCGGAGTCCACCCCGGCTTGGTCACACTGCAAAGCCACGGGCCTCTCCGCAGCTCCCGTCACCTCCTTAAGAGGTCTGTCTCCAGTGGGGCTCACCAAAACATCATGCAATTTTTCTCGATTTCACGGCAGTGTGTCTCGGAGAGTCCTCCACAATAAATGCGTGAGGTGAGGATGCCAAGTGAAGACTGAAATTATCGTATAAAACCTTTCTTCAAATCACATCGTTATTTTTTCTTCAAGGACAACTGGCAATTGATTGCTCAGTTCTCGGTTTCCTAACAGTTAGCTGGTAATGACTACAGAGCTCGGAGGCTTTAACCACGGAGTGAGCAACCAAGAGAGTGTCATTATCGTGGCAACACGGGCGCTTCTCCCCACAGACTCCAAAGCCTTCGGGGTCCGTGCAGAGCCATGACCAAGAGAATGAACAAAGGGCCTCGTGTGCCAGTCGTCCCTACTGCTACAGCCTCTCATCAGGAGCTTCTGACAAGCGCCTTCAGGTGGCAGTGGACACGAAGACGAATCTGTGACCGCAGTAAGTATCTGTGTGACCACTTAGATGAGGCACAGCCGCAGTACTGAAACAAGACAGGCACGAGTTCAATCTTCATCAGGAAGGACCTAGTTTTCGTTAGGACCTAACACCCAAAGCATTTTTTTCCCTTTTTTGCTATGTAAGAAAGTTCAATTTAAGGCCCAATACCCAGAGGCTCAAAGTCTTCTAACAACATCATAGAGGAAAGAACAACAACAAAAAAACCCGTTAACAAGTCAGGTCAAAGATCAACATATACAGGAAAGGGACATGGTTGTATATTTAAAATGTATGCTTCTGGGGCGCCTGGGTGGCTCAGTTGGTTAAGCGACTGCCTTCGGCTCAGGTCATGATCCTGGAGTCCCTGGATCGAGTCCCGCATCGGGCTCCCTGCTCAGCAGGGGGTCTGCTTCTCCCTCTGACCCTCCTCCCTCTCATGCTCTCTGTCTCTCATTCCCTCTCTCTCAAATAAATAAATAAAATCTTTAAAAATAAATAAATAAATAAATAAATAAATAAATAAATAAATAAAATAAAATGTATGCTTCTGTTCCATAAGACCCAATGACTCGAGACTTTTCTCTTTGGGATTTCCTATCAAGCATGTCTTAAAGACAGTATCTCTGCCATAAAGATTATGATACATCCTTCCAAGGTATTTTATCATGCAAAGAGTTAAAATATATTTAGCTAGAGTCTGTATTTTAAAAATTGATTACTGAAGCATACAAGCTAAACAGTACTAGATAAGCCAAAATCTCAACATCCGTCAAGCATGTATTTGCACCATTTGCTTGTGCTATAGCACACTCCCTACCACACTACACATCCCACAGAAGCCTGGAAATGGTTAATATAAAAGAGACAACAGAGAGAAGAGGGAGGGAGGAAGCCTAGGTTCCATTCACCATTCACACCTTTGCCAACAGTCACTATAGGACATTGGTAAGAATCGCCTCAGTTTTGTTTTGTTTTTGTTTTTTTGTTTTTTAAGATTTTATTTATTTATTTGAGACAGAGAGAATGAGAGAGAGAGAGCACATGAGAGGCGGGAGGGTCAGAGGGAGAAGCAGACTCCCTGCCGAGCAGGGAGCCCGATGCGGGACTCGATCCCGGGACTCCAGGATCATGACCTGAGCCGAAGGCAGTCGCTTAACCAACTGAGCCACCCAGGCGCCCTCGCCTCAGTTTCTTAAAAAAAAAAAGCTTGTAAGATTTTTCAGGTAAAAGTTACTTTTGTGAAGTAAAGAATTTTCAAAGAAAAATAACCAATTCATGCAACTAAAGAACCTCACCACTTTCCTGAACAAGTCTATGAAATTATTTTATCAGGAGTCCCATGAATCTTCCCCATTATTAAACGTACTCTCTGAACAGAAAAGTCTTACACAGGCTCCCGAGGCTTGTTAACATAAGTGTCATTTCTATGTGCTGGGTCTTTCACTGCATCTGAGGTAATGGTGTCTTTCATTAAATAATCAAAGCGCAGAGAAAATGGGTGAAGTCGTGTGAATTTACAGTGACTCGACAGTAAATGGCACAGAGAGAAGAAAGACCCAAAGTAGAGAATCTGATCGTTCCCTTACTTCCCAAGGCCGGAAGAGGCTGAAGAGCACACCACAACCTTGGTCGGGGTGGAGGCTGTGGAAGTTTTTCCAACCGCCAGTCTTTCCTACACACTAATCACAACCTTTAGGAGACGGGCTTTAGTCAAAGCCCAGTGCCCCCTCTCCTTGCTCTGGTGAACTGTAACATGGGCATAAAGGAGACAACGGGGGTTAAAAAGCATCACTGGGATCCTGACAAGAACATAACCGTCTCAGAGTATTTGACAGCATATCGCCAAACATAATTTCAGCAATAAACTGTTAACAATTAAAAATCTAATGTTTTAAAATTACTGTAAGTAAAACAGGAGACTTTTTCAATAAAAAAGGGACTCCACCTGTGTGTAAGTTTGTAAATCTATACTGAGAGTGTAGTTCCCTTTACAAAAGAACAGACCTGGAGCACTATTTCTCGAGAAATGAAGGCATAATATCCACTTGTGATGAAATCCTGAATTCTCCATTCTTTTAACTCTGTCCTGGATTCACCTACAGGGTTACTTGTCACATGAGGGGACGGAGTCGTTTACTTCATTTTATTTCCAAACATTTCTCTAGGTATCACTAGATGCCAGGAGGTAGGGATCCAGAAGCAGGGGATGGAAGCAAGGCAGTCCTGCCTGGGCGGGAGTGGGGCCCCAAGGGAGGCTTAGTTAGAACGTTTACAGTATTGAGATGGGGTCTGGGGGAGCCTGGACAAAGATGGGAGTCGAGAGAAAGGCTGAATAAAAGCTTCCGGAAGACAGAATACACAAGATTTGGTGGCTATCTGGATGGGGGAGTTGAGGGCATGGAAGCCAGCAGGTGACTTGCAGAGTCGGCCTCAAACTGCGTGAGCAGGGAACACAGAAGGAGCAGGTTTGCAGAGATGACATGAGGAGTTTGGCTTGTGTACGTGTTGAGTAAGACCAGGAGGACTTGAAAGTAAAGGCATCCAGCGGGCAGCTGGGCAGCTGGGCCTGGAGTCCAAGACAGGAGACGTAGGCTGGGACATCAGCAGCTCACGTGCAAGAGTGGCTGCCACCTGGGAACAGAAAAAGGCAAAGTAAAGGAAGAAGGCAGGGATGGGAGCGTAGGCCACACCAATGCTTCAGACCTAAGGAAACCGGGGACGGAAGGCAGAGGAGGAGAGGGGGAGCGGTCAAGGATGACGTCAGAATGTCAACCAAGGGAGAGGGGGCCACTGAGAATCAGCAGCTGCTGGAGTTGGCAGCTCACAGAGATACGTAAAAAGAAAGGGGTGATGCCAATAGTAACCCCTAAAATAAGCGAACTTAACTGAAAAGTCTCTCAAGGTAAAAATGCAGGCTCTGAGAACATAAACTTCAAGTTACAATATTTACCTCAAATACACTGACCCTGTTCGGGTAAATACACTGAGGCCAGTGGAGTTTATTCCCACTGATACGATCTGGGTACTTCTAACACAATCTTTTTTTAGTGTAGTCACAGCAATAATATCTACGTCATTTCTGATCACAGACAAGCAGACAGAGTAAATTAAAGTTACCTACAGCAAAAACAAGAACCTGAAAAGCATTATACTGGCATAAATTCAATGAGAGTTTGAGATTTTATTTCCTTGTACATTGGGAATCACAACAAAAAACAATGTTAATTAAAATGAATCACCGGTAATAAAAAAAAAAAAGGCCACGTTTAGACATAAAATGTATTAAACTGCTCTTCTATCAACCTATGAGTTTATACTAAAGCTCCTTTTTAAAGTAAATCTGCACTATTTCACAATCAAAACAACTTTCTTTCAAATTCACATACTAAAAAGCATGGTATATATGCGTGTTGTTTCTGCAGCAGGCTTAAGTGAATATTGTTTTTGTAAGTCACCAGAAAATGATACTTAGTGTAAGAGAACTAGAAACATTCATTTCTGTAAATAAAGTCCTTATTTAAACATTTGGGTCAACTTTTTTGGTAAGGATTTAGGGATTTTAAAGGATTATAAACACACTGCAAGTGTAATTTTACTCACAAGGACTAAGGAAAGAGCTTCTAAAACAGTATTTAGAATGAAAAGTCATTTTACTTTACATTTATACCTTTGTTTAAAGTATACACCTGCCAACTGGTAACAAATAAATAATAAATGAATCTGAAGAAGCCCGGATTTGTATTTAAAATTCTAGCATTTTTTCCCTGTTATTTAACAGTAAGACATTCCCAAACTAAAAATATGGCAGGCCACGCTGTGCTTTGTCCCTTAGATGAAATGTTCTCTCACGGCAAAAAGTTAAAACAAGCACTTCTAGGAGAAAATTATTCTGCATAATTATTTTCCAGAAGAAACAGACTTGTGTTTCATTTGTGTTGGTAAGGAGTGGTTTTTACATCCATCAGTCAGAAACAAGGTAAATGTAGGGGAAGAAAACGAAATTAAATCAAGTAGTTTCCTCTGTCTTACATGCCTTAAATTTAATACAAAACACTTAAGGCAACATCTTACGAGTGCTCACGACTTAATGAAGAGGC